CCAAGGGAGGGACGTGTCGCCATCCTCGCGCGGGAAGAGCCAGGCCCCCGCCCCTGGGCCTCCGTACCCGTACCCGTGTAGACCGAATTGGCCGTCCTCGTTCAGCGTCCGGAGGAGCCGCGCCCTTGGTGCTCGCGGAAGTGTTCTTCCTCCAGTGTCCCTGCAGTTTGGCCTCCAGCTCGGCCAAGAGAGCTGCCCAGTCAAAAGGCTCCGCCTTCGCCCCTTACTGGTCCAGCTCCGCCTCGGCGCGGCGCCAAGCCTCTGTCATCTGGGGGCAGCGGGACCGGACGGCCTCCGCCGACGTGGCTCCGAGGCAGGGCGCCGCGCTTCGGAAGCAACAGGCCCAGCTTCCAAGGTAGGCGCGGGCGGCGGTCTCCTGGGAGGGAGGGAAGCCGTTGCCGCCGTCGGCTGGGCGGAGGGTGAGCCACTCTGTCTGCTCGTCGCTCACGGACCTAGTCAGTTCGACGTAAGCCCCAAGAGCAAGTCGCCGAGCTCCCCCCGCACCACCAACTGGGCGCTGTGTGCCCAACCAGGCGAGCCCAGACGCGAAGGCACTGAATCAGCAAAAGGGGTCGTGTAATACCATGGGGTAGATAACATCCGTTCCCGATGTATGTGACCCTTGCTGTATGTGATCGTCCTCGTCAGTGTCCGATTCAAGTCGTTCCCCTTATCCCACTCGGGATGGCGGGGGCTGCCAACTATTGAACAATTTCGGTATCAAAATCCCTTCTTCCAAGCTCGCTGCAACACGGGTTGTGACTGGCCCTCCGCGTCCGCACTCAATCCGCTGTTGACGGCTGGCGTAGTGCAAGGCCAACTGTTAAGATGGCAAATTTGGACGCGATTCAGCGCCCATGTGCAGGCGCAATGTCGTTGCTCATGCTTCTTTGCTGTCCGCCTTTGTGTGCCGCTGTGCCGATGGTGGTGATGGCGAGTATTGGCTTTGACGCAGGTGCGCGCAGCACCAAGTGCCAGGCGCATGGGCCTGGATCCTCCTTTGAGGGCTGGCATCTAACCCACCGCTCCCGCCGCTCGGAATCGGTGGCCGTGTGCCTGGACTCAGGGTCCCGTCAAAGAGAAGTGAACATCCTGACCGTGATGACGATGACGCTGATGACGACCACTGTCGTCATCATCGTCGTCGTGGGGGCAGTCTGTCGGACTTTAGTTTGAAACTGACAGAGTCGCGCGCAGTCTAGACTGCGCATGCTTGGTGAGTGATGGCAGGGACCATACTACTAGTAAGGTGTTGCTGGTGGTGCAGTCCACAACATCGCGCGCCAAAGTAGCGCTCAATCGCCCTGATCCGTCGCTGACCTCCGTCTGCACGCTGGGTCAAGCCAGAGCCCGCCCAGAGCTGCTGCAGAAAATGCCGACGATCAAGGCTCCCAGGTCTCATCGGGTCCATGTGAAGTGCTGCAACGTCGCTGGTCAGCTGCGCAGTGCTCGACACAGGACACCCCATCCTCCAAGACCCTGCTCCTGTTCTGCTCGAGCTTCTCTGCCTGCTCCTGACGCCTGTAACAGGCTATGTCCGAGCCTCATGCCTTTGCGTGTCGATCGGGGGGGGGGGGCGAGGGGAGTGAGGAGTTTCGCACCGCCGAGATCTTTATGAATCCCTTGACGCCTCAAGAAAGCGAGCGTCATCGGAAGAAGCTGGTCCAAAGCGGTCTCCTCCCCTCCTTCTCCTGCCGCTCGTGCTGATCCTGCTCCTCTGCATGAGACACGAAAAGCTGACTGCGGTAAAAACATGAAGCTGCATCCTGGTGGGAGTACTTCAGCTGGCCATCCAGGAGAACATACCTTGGCTACGCCAATCAAGTGCACACGCGCGTGACAAAAGGAAATAATGGTATAAGACTGAGAAGATGGAGGAGGAGGAGGAGGAGGAGGAGGAGGAGGAGGAGGAGGAGGAGGAGGAGGAGGGGGAAGGAGTCGGAGGACAAACGTCTCGAATGACGTCCATTGCGATAGCCGTCCGAGTGACGCCCGGCCGCGGCGACGAGCGAACCCAAGCAAGATCAACGTCAAAATATCTAGATGGTGGGTGGTGGCTGCAGACCCAAGCTGCAAATGAAGAACCAACGAACGAGCCGTCATCGCCGCAGCAAACGGCGACCAAAGATGGGCGACAAATCGTGCGGGACTCTTGGGGTCTTCTTGAAGCCGCGTGGCAGCCTCTGAGGGCCTTCTTGGGGTCCGTCTTGGGCGCCCCTGGGGCCGTCATGGAGCCCTGCCATGCCGTCCCGGGGCCCTCTTGGGGGCGCGGTGTTGGAAGCCTCTTGGGCCGTCTTGGAGTGTCAGAAACTTGAAACGTGGAGGATCCCAACAACATTGAAAAAGCCAATGGCAATCACAGATTTCCGCCTGCCGGGGCACTCGTCTGGGACCTCGGGCGCCCACTGAAGCCTACCCGAGGACGTCCTGGCGAGTTCTTGGGGCCTCCTGGAACCTCTTGGCACGAAGGACTCGAAATTTCGGGTCATGTTCCCCCTGTTGAGCTCATCTTGGGGTCGTCTTTAAGCCCTCTTGGGCCGTCTTGGGCGTCCCTGGGGCCGTCATTGAGCCGTGTCAGGCCGTCCCGGGGCCTTACACGGGGCCTCTTGGCCCGTCTTGGGGCGGTCTTATCGGCCTCTTGGGTCGTCTACGATTGTCTGAAACTTACAAAACGGGGGACCCATAGCACATTGAAAAACCGAAATGAGATCAACGGTTTTTGCCTCCGGGGCACTCGTTTGGGGCCTCGGGCGCCCACTGAAGCCTGCCCGAAGCCGTCCTGGTGCAGCCTGGAAGCCTTCGGAAGCCGCTCGCCAGGCGTATTCGGCGCTCTCGGAATGTGATGGACCGGTCCGCAATGGAGGCCACGAGGGCGCTCGTGGGGCCCTGGGAATCCCCACGCCAACCCGGGGCCGCGGTCTGGCCCCCCTCCTGGCCTACTCGTGTATATATATATATACATATATAGATACACACATACATACACACGTCTACATCTACGCCTACACCTACGTCTACATATACATCTACATCTACAGCTACATAAATATATCAGTTGCATATACATATGCACATACACAACTACATATTTACATGTACATTTACATATACGTATACACACATACACGCATACGTGCACACATGCATACACCCATCCACCCATCCATACATACATACAAACATGCACACACATACGTACACATACACACATGCACACATACACACATACACACGTACATGCATACATGACAGACCTGACCTGACATGACATGACATGACATACATACATACATCCATCCATCCATACATACATACATACACCCACATACATACATACATACGTACGTACGTACGTACATACATACATACACACATACATACCGACAGACAGACATACATATACACACATTGGCACACATATACGTACATGCAAATATATACGTGCATACGCATGTACAACCATTCATACACACATACATGCATACATGAATACATCCACACACATAGATTAGAAACCAGATTTGCGTGTGTGAGAGTGTAACTGCATGTATGCAAGTACGTATGTATGTATGTGTGCAATTGTGTATGCATCGTGTTTAATTCGCCAAGGATTGCGCGAAGCGACGCAATAAGAACTCATGCACGCAAATTTGGACTCAACACACCTTGCAATTACGAGGAAGGGCACCCCAACGGCCTGCCATCGCTCCTCGTACCCTCCCTTTGCGAGAACATGCGAGGAGCCGAGGCGCTGTGCAGCAGTTCGCTCATCCCAGTCTTTGGCATCCAATCTGGCGCACTCAGTGCTGCTAAACCTCGGATGCGTTGCGGGCTCCTGCAGCGTGGCCTGCCAGCACTCTGTCCGCCTTTTGTCGGACACGCAGGCTGTAAGGCTCAAGCGAGCATCACAAGTGGTCCCGTACACCATGCACGTGGCGGAAGCAAGCGCGTAGAAACGCTGCTCACAGCGAACACCGTGTTTTATGCGACGGTGCTGTGCTCGACCGAACAATCAGTGCAACCGAACGGCCGGCATAGAGGCTCGGCTGCAACGTGCAAGATTTTATCACAGATCGAATCCTCAAAATGGAGGAGGGCAACGGCTTGCTTCCACCTAAGAGGCTCATCGCAAGTACGGCTGCACCAAGTCTGCGGATCCTCATCGGGATCAGGCAACTTTGAACACAAAGCAACAAGCTGGCGAAGTCGTCTTTGGTCCTGGATCACAAATTGCAGCCAAGCCGACAGCTGGGGGGCACCGTTGCGACTTGGACGCTGCTGGAGCACGGCCGACAGTGAGGGGTGACGGACGCGGGCGAGGTGGCCGAGGTACGTGAGACTGGCCCTAGCAAGTACACAGTCGATCGAAAAGATGCGGTGGAGGGTGCGGACCTCGAGGTCGCTTCCCGTTCCCGGTCCAAACCGCGGCGCTCCACGCATCCGCATGTGCCCTCGCAAATACATAGAATTGAAAGAGAGGAGAGGAGCAGTAGGGACGAATCTGTGTACATTAAGTTACAACTTAAACAGCATAATGATCGTGAACAGCCAACTCTTCAGATGATACTCCACGTGCGGAGAGCCAAGCAGCTTCATCGGAACAGGGGCGTACGCCGCCAGCGCCTTCTTGCGGCGGCTCTGCCCTAGGGGGATCAAGGATCCAGACATGGCAAGCTCGGAGCCGAGACACTTATACCTCGGAACAACATGCAGAAAGTCAGAGTGACCAGGGATCGGGAAGCACAAGGGCCCTCCAGGCTTTTGCCTCCGAGTTCTCATGTGTTGCGCTGCCCCTTTCCCCCAGTGCTTAAAAAAAACGCCTCTGTCTTCCCGAACCGCCAATTGATCTCCAAATTCAGTACTCGGTGAAAACCGGAGCGCAAAACCAAGGAGACCCTCGACCGATTGGTCCAGCAACTTAGCAGATGCAGCTAGCAAAGTCATGACAGCTTCGTCGTCAAAGGCTACTTACATCTACACCATCCTGCCTGCGTGCCCCCTCAGGCGGAAGGCTGGGCGCCCAGATTTGTTCGAAATCCGTCGTAAGCTGGAGGGCAACCCCAGCCTCGACGACAACGGATCATCTGGAACGCCACGCTGAAGGTCGAATTAAATAGACACGCCCCGAACTTGCAGCCCTGGCGGCCGCCAACTCTGACCGCAATCGCGGAATCCAAGTCTCCCACACTGAACCACGATTGCACATGCATGTTCTTTAAAAGACGCACGGCCCTGGGCGACGCATCCCAACTCTCAAAATGCAAGCCATGCACTGAGACAACAGCAACGATACACTGCGCCTGGTCGCGGGCAAAACCGAGGCTCAGGAAGTACGCCTCTCCGTGAGTCACGCCGGCAGGCCAGCCAAGGGTGACCTCCCTGACAATGCGATCGAAAGCCTTCACAAGGTCCAGGAACATAATGAAGACGTACATGGATGTCTGCGTGGCGTACTGCACGACCTCCAACACCAAATGCGAGGCAAATTCAGTGCTCCGGCCTCCCACTGCGCCATGCAACGCCTCGGGCTGGTGGGCCGCATACTGCGGGAACACGTGGTGCGAAAAGTGCTGCTTGAAGCCCTTCCCGAGGTGGTCCTCCAGGATGATGCCGCGGTGGTCGTCGCAATTGGCACGACTTCCCTTGAGCTTTCAGATCTCTTGGAACCAGCCGCCAGTCCATGCCACGGGCCAGACCTCAGCTTGCAGCACCTCGTTGCTGTGTATGCATATTCTTTTGCTCCTCGAGGGCTGGATCAGATCCGTCGCAAGTGAACTCGTGAAGTGGCAGCGGCACCAATGTCAGCTAAACAACTGTACACGACAAAGGGGCACCAATGATAGGCGGAGGAATAGCGGAGACAATTCAACACCTGGCGCAAACAACTGCCCTGCCGGCAACGGTGCGAGCCTGGCCAACTGCGAGTACGTGAGACCGGCCGGATCGCTGAGCCTCACGCTGGAGCACTTTGTCCTGCTCATCCAGGAGAGCGCATTCAGTGGCCGAGAGCTTGGTAAAACTCTGAGGGTGGGCGCAGATCTAAGACCAACACGCTGTGCGACGGGTGTCGCAGAGGTGGGCGAGGCAGCGGAGGCGAGTCTGAAGTGGGTGCCACATACTTGGCACATGCCGCTTGCTAGACAGAACTCGCGCTGCTGAGCGCGTATGCCCTGCTTCGCACGCGCGTGCGACTGCAGAGCGCGACTGGAAGCGAAAGACATCCCGCATGTCGTGCATGAATATGTCACGAAATACGGGCTAGGAGCGGGCAGCGCGCCGGGTCTGGAGTCACAGAGCGAGGAGGAAAAGTGAATGCACTTGACAGCATCACTCCAGTGGGGCGGGCTGTCCGACCATCATCTGTATCCAAGGTGCTCCGTCGACTATGGGGTCAGGTAGGTGCGCGCACAACGTGGCCATGCGCCAGAGGCACTGGAGGTCCTCGCGGAGCTGGGCCACCCAGGGAATGACAGCTTCCTCCTTGTGGGCCCCAAACAGCCCGAAAATCTCGGAAGGGCCTGCCCGCACAGCCCGGGCAAAGTAGACTTAGCGCCGGCCCCCTTGTGGGGCCAGCAGGCTGTAGGCCGAAGTGTGCTGCTCCCTGCGCCTGTTGCAGCTTCGAGTCTCCAGTGTTACAGTCCTGCTTTCTGCCTCCTACTGTGAACTGTTTCCGCGCGAGGAGGGGGAACCCCAAACCGCCCGGTTACAGCGCCCGGATCGCGTGTTCTGAATTCACAGGGGGGCGCGGGACACTAAAAAAAAAATTCGCCGGCCCAGCGGGCCAGAGGCGTGCTAAGATCTCTGGTAACTGGTTAACCATAACTCTATACTTCGCGCGCGCGGAGCGGCCCCGGGGGGTCCCCAGCCAGAAAAAAACCCGGCAAGGTCCCGGGACACTCACGGCAAACTCAGGTCAGAGATGGTTTTCCTCCTGGGTGCGACCTTCCACGCTCCCTGGAACGCGCCAAGAGGGCCCCAACAGGCGTCCAAGACGGTCCAAGAGGGTTCCGAATCACCGAACGATCGGCCCAAGACGCCCAACACGGCCTCAAGACGGCCCAAGAAGCTTCCAAGACGTCCCAAGAAAGCCCCGACCCTTTCCAAGAGAGCCCCAAGAGGCCAACATCATTGATTTCCATTTGGTTGTTCGCGAATGTTTGGCTTCCTCGCCTTTTCGCGTTTCCGACGCTCCAAGACGGCCTAAGAAGTCGAAGACCACCCCACGACGGCCCAAGAGGCCTCCAAGAGAGCCCCAAGACTGCCCAAGAGGGCCCCACGACAGCCCAAGAGGCGCCCAAGACGGTCCAAAAGGACCCCAAGAGGGCCCCAAGAGGGGCCCAACATGGAGACCACGAACCGAGAATCCGAGCCTGCCGCTCCAAGAGGCCTCCTGGAGGCTCAAAGAGGCCCCCAAGAGGCCCCAAAAGGCGACAAGGGGCCCGAACGAGACCCCAAGAGGCTCGACAACGACTCCCGAGAGTCTCCAAGAAGTCCTCGAGAGGCATCCAACGAGATCGCAATGAACGTCCACGAAGCCTCAAAGCGCCAAAACCATTGATTCCCAACCCTCCTTGGTTGGGTATTCGTTTTGAATAAGGGACTTGTGGTCTCCACCTTCCTTCCTCCCGCCTCCCTCCCCCCTCCTATTCCCAACCCTCCTTGGTTGGGTATTCGTTTGGAATAGAGCACTGCTCGCGCGTCTCCTCCCGCCTCCCTCCTGCCTCCTGCCTGCCTCCTCCTGTCTTGCCTGCGGGGGGCTGCGATCTGTGAAACTGCCGCCACTTTCGAGGCCTGCTGGGGGGCCCAGCACAGTGACGCCACGCGCGGACCCAAATTAGACCTCGCCATCCCTGGGGGGCTGCGATCTGTGAAACTGCCGCCACTTTCGAGGCCTGCTGGGGGCCCAGCACAGTGACGCCACGCGCGGACCCAAATTAGACCTCGCCATCCCTGGGGGGCTGCGATCTGTGAAACTGTCGCCACTTTCGAGGCCTGCTGGGGGGCCCAGCACAGTGACGCCACGCGCGGACCCAAATTAGACCTCGCCATCCCTGGGGGGCTGCGATCTGTGAAACTGTCGCCACTTTCGAGGCCTGCTGGGGGGCCCAGCACAGTGACGCCACGCGCGGACCCAAATTAGACCTCGCCATCCCTGGGGGGCTGCGATCTGTGAAACTGTCGCCACTTTCGAGGCCTGCTGGGGGGCCCAGCACAGTGACGCCACGCGCGGACCCAAATTAGACCTCGCCATCCCTGGGGGGCTGCGATCTGTGAAACTGTCGCCACTTTCGAGGCCTGCTGGGGGGCCCAGCACAGTGGCGCCACGCGCGGACCCAAATTAGACCTCGCCATCCCTGGGGGGGCTGCGATCTGTGAAACTGCTGCCACTTTCGAGGCCTGCTGGGGGGCCCAGCACAGTGACGCCACGCGCGGACCCAAATTAGACCTCGCCATCCCTGGGGGGGGGGGCTGCGATCTGTGAAACCGTCGCCACTTTCGAGGTCTGCTGGGGGGCCCAGCACAGTGAGGCCACACGCATACCCAAATTAGACCTCGCCGTCCCTGGTGGGCTGCGATCTGGGAAACTGTCGCCACTTTCGAGGGCTGCTGTTGGGTCCAGCGGAGTGAGGCACCGCGGGGACCTGAGCGAAACCTCGCCGTCCCCCGGGGGGGGGGGGCTGCGATCTGGGAAACTGTTGCCACTTTCGAGGTCTGCTGGTGGGCTCGCCACTTTGGAAGGCTGCTGGTGGGTCCAGCGGAGTGAGGCACTGCGCGGACCTGAGCGGGGCCTCGCCGATGTCATGTTGTTGCTGCCCCGCCGACGTTTCAAGCCCCTTGCCCACAATCTCCTTTTGGACCTTGCGTCTTCCTTGGTGGCTCAGGGGTTCGCTTAGATACTCATCGTTTTTCCTTTGATTGGGGACCTGCGAACCTCCCGAATGCCGCTCGCAGAAATATATGCGTCCATGCCACGTCGCCGCCTTCTCGTCAAGTCTCCCAAGCTACTCCTGCCCCGCCTTGCGCAGGGGTTGGGTACGTCGCCAGGGTAATTTCCATAGGGGTTTTCAACGTTTTTGGCTTCCTCGCCTTTTCGCCTTTCCGACGCTCCAAGACGGCCCAAGAAACTTCCAAGACCACCCCAAGACGGCCCAAGAGGCCTCCAAGAGAGGCCCACGACCGTCCAAAAGAGCCCCACGACACCCCAAGCGGCGCCTAAGACGGTCCAAAGGACCCCAAGAGGGCCCCAAGAGAGGCCCCAAATGGAGATCACGAGCCGAAAATCCGAACCTTCCGCTCCAAGAGGCCTCCTGAACGCCCCAAGAGGCCCCTAAGAGGCCCCAGCAAGCGACAAGGGGCCCGAAGAATGCAACAAGGAAGCTGCAGAATGTTGTCTTGCTCTTTGCGATCGTATTCACGAGCCGCCACCATCCGAAACAGAAGGTTCAGGCGGGCAAAGAACGGTTCCCGCCTGCAAATTCACCCAAAGCCAGCCAGCCATAAACAAAAAAACGACCCAGCAGCACCCCATTGACAACGATCACACGGGCACTCGACAGCCGTGCACCAGTACGGGCCGGCGGAATACGCGAAGCGATTCAATAAGAATCGCGCCCCCGAGGCCATAATTTCTCGTGAACTGCGCGGCATTCGCGTCCCCGAAGCCATTAACGTTCGCAAATTACACCGTGTTCGCATTGCTGAGGCCACGAGTGCACCAAGGCGCCCGACGATGGTTCCAAGACGGCCCAAGAAGGCCTCAAGAGGCCCCAAGAGCGCTCCAAGAGGCCTTCCGAAAGAGCCCCAAGAGGCCCAAACCGACGATTCTACGAAAATGCTTGAACATTGTTGGCCTTCTCGTATCTTCAGCTTTCCGACGCCCCAAGACGTCTCAATAAGCTTCCAAGACCGCCCCGAAACATACCAAGATGCCTCCAAGCGGGCCCCAAGACGGCCCAAGAGGGCTCGAACATTGACCAGGAAACGTTCAAGACGACCCAAGAGGCCCCAAAATGGGCCCAAGAGAGGCCCAAGCAGGGGACCACGAACCGAAAGTTCGGTATCTGTGCCCTGAGAAGCCCCAAGGAGGCCCCAAGAGGCCGCCAAGAGACCTCAAGAGGCCCCAAGAGGCGCCCAAGACACGCCCAAGAGGCCTCCAAGAAGCCCAACAGATACCCCGCGAGGCCCCAAAAGGCCCCCCGGGGGCTAGGTGTACTTCAGGAAGAACCGAACTGGAGTTAGAACCTGGATACACTTCAAACATCCCAAATCGTCGTAGTAACAACTTCCAAGACATCAGAATACCACTGAAATAGCAGGATGAGGAAACACTGGAGCAAACCTTGAACATCTAAGTGGGATCAAGATCAGGTCATAGACAGGCTCCACGCACAACTTTTCTGCAATAAATGATTTCTCAAGCAGCAAGCCTTGCTCC